TTACAAATCACCTCTATATACCATAAGAGGCCTTTTAAGCACAATCAGTAACTTTAGATCATAAAATTGTAAAGTTAGATTACCAAGGATCTATCTCAACAAAAGCACAATGCAAACTTTGTCTATAGGTGAAAAACAAGACACTAACACCAAAATGCTCTTAACCACAAGTAAGAGCAAACCATGATTTAGATCTAGATCTCAATCTGAAAGTTAAGTTCTTCCAAAGCCTAACATCAGTAACAACAAGTTGATCTACTCCACACTTACAAAACCACTTCAAAGAACTTCAAAAAATACTCAAGCAAATGTGAGTGGGCCCATAACCTATTGAAGAAAAGAAGTCTAAAAGTTTTAAATACTTAGAATCAGCAAAGATTGTAGTCTAAGAGAAGTGTAGAGAAAGATGATTCTTACTTCCAACACTCTTTACTTATAGGTAGTGATTTGCTCATCAATGAGGAAACTTCCATCCTTTTGATATTACATCCATTTCTACCTCATCCAACTAAACCCTTGATAGTACTACAATAACTTACTTTAACTCTTTGCTGCCTTTTTACTATTAGCAACATACTATGCTTAATTTCTATGTGGTTGTAACTAAGCAAGTACTTTCTGGTCTTCAAAAATTGATAATATAAAGTGAAAAATGATATAGAAAAAAATAAAAAAAAAAGTAATACAAAATAAGTGAAATAAGTGAATTCAAATAATTGTATACAATAAAAGTAGTCTACAATCTATTTACTCAGTTTTCATCCAATAAAAAATAAAGTTTAATATTAAAAAAAATATTTTTATATGGATAATTTTATTATATTTTTTATGATGTAAAAAAATATATAAATCCAAATTACTATAAATAAATTATGAAAGTTTAAAGATAGGAAGTGAATAATTAAAAAGTTAAATAAAACCAATTTATTTTAAGTATAACTTGCATATAGATCAAAGGTTCACGTATAGTATATATAGATTGTTAAAAGAGACCACAAGGCCTTAGTCTTATCCTCTTAACTCTATTCAAGGTGCTACAATCCATAAGGAACTTGTGCACTTCCCTTTCTACAAGGACTAGACTAGCTGTTGGTCCTCCTATTTTCTACTAATAAAACTAATGTTTTTATATATTTTACTTCATCGTAGTGATTAAAAACATCCAAATAGACTAAGAGCCTCATATGGCCTTCAAATCTTTTTCCATTTTTTCATCATGGCTCCCAAAGTAATAAAACTCAATTTTACTAAGCTCTTGAAATCTTTTCTAAAATTTTAAAAATAAATTCTAAATAAATTCCAAATAAATCTTTAAAAATCATATAATAGTTTTATAATACTGAAGTCTATTTAAAAATATACTTTTATAATTTTATAATTTTTTATAATAATAAAATCAATTTAAATCCATTAAAAATCTTATTTTTTATATAATTAATTATAAAGATATGAAGTTTTTTTTTCATGCTTCTTCTAACTACTAAAAAATCATTGATAGGATTTTTATAAGTAATACATGTAGATAAGAGACCAATGAATATATTTGTCTAAATAACTAATCTTGAATATTTAATAATAAATAAAAATACTAAATCAACTAAGATAATTATCTCTAAGACTTATGAAGATTTTATTTTTATAAATTTTCTTCTAATAAGACTTTTATAACTTATAAATACTTATAAATTTGAATAAATACTTAAATAGTCAAAAAAAACTTTCTAATCTTAATATTTATATAATAAAATGATTTAAAATTATATCTTTAATCAATTCATCAATTAAGATGCATTGGTGTGACTCACATCATGATATTAAGAATACTTCTTTTAAGTCTCATGATACTTTTAATTTTAAGTTAAAAAAATAATCTATTTTATTTTTAAAGTTGTCTATATTTTTTAATATATATATATATTTATGTATTCTTCAAGCATATCACAACTTTCTAATAGCATGATATTTTAGATACAACAAGACTTTGGAACTTATATCTAAAGATTTTTGGTAGCCAAAAATGAGAAAGGATGTGAAAGAATTTATATAGTAATATAACATTTGTTCAAGATCAAAAATTCCTCATCATCCACCTTACAGACTTTTTCAACTATTAGAAAATTCTAAGAGGATTAAGAAAGTTGTCTAAGAAGCTTCTTAGGATTGTTTTATCTTCAAGCAACATGAAAATTTCTTAAGAAACTTCCTAATATCAAGTTCTTGCTAGCTTTCTTATTGAAATTTATTTGTTCAACTTCTTATTTGGTCTCTTGTATAGTTTATCCATGACAGTTTGTTGAGATTGCTTTCTTATCAATACTAGAGCTTTATCTTTCTTGATAAAGAATAGATTATCTTTCTTGAAAACATCTAAGCACTTTAGAGATTATGGAGTATCTTTATTTAAATTGGTATTATTTAGAAACATTTTTTTTAACTTTCAAGATGGTTGGAAGTAAAGATGTTAGTATAATTGAGACTTCCAACTCCAAGTTAGATGTTAATATGAACATGTTAAATGCTTTATCTCGTAGAATTGCTAAAATTGAAGAATTTTTTGGCAAGATTTTATGGTGATGCAAGAATTGGAGCAGTTCAACTTGTAATGCAACTACTTTTTTAAGCTTTTACATCTAAGGAGGCAGTGGCACTTGCACGTCAAGAAGAAAATTTACATATTCAATATTGTAAGGAGCCTTGGATAAGTCTTCAAAATCTTTTAGAACTTGATAAAATATTTTAAGAATATTCTTAAAATCTTCTTGTTAGATATCTATAACAAAAATATATTTAATATTATATATTTTAAAATTTTAAAATTATTGAAAAAAAAATATGAGGCTTTAAAAAAAATTAAATGATGTGCTATGATTTTTATATATAATTATACAAAAAACATATAGAATTATTTGAAGCATAAAAAGTCTAAAACATTTATATAAAAATGATCAGGTAGAAGGTCACAATTCAAATAAAACAATTCTAATCAAACCATTAGCACCCCATAAATTCAAGATTTTTGTTTAAAATATATAAAATAATAATACTTTGCATCTGAATAAAATGGATGTAAATTTATTAAAAGAATGTTGAAAAATTATTAAAATATATTAAAATATGATAAATTAGATAGTAGGTAAAAAAATATTCTTTTCAAAGTATAATAAGAAGGATTGTAGTACTTCTTTATAAAAAAAAATAAAAAAAATAAAAAAAAAAATCCATTGGCAACCTACTTTTTTATTAATAAATTATATTAAATATGTACTAAAATAATTTTAAAATATTTTATGTATTAATATTAGAAGTGATACATCTAAATAAAGTAAAAAAATTATTCATAATATTTATCTTGAATAATATGTATGTAATTTAAAAAATCATAATTTATATTAAACTATCTAAACAAATTCTATAATATACTTAAGTAGATTTTTTTATGCCTACAATAAGGATTTATGGATTTATTTTATTTTATTTTATAGCTATTAAATATATTATGTTCTATTATTACTTTAAATATATGATAAATTATAGTTAAAATTAGTTAGTAGAATAGAAATAAAACATAAATTAATGAATATTTTTTAGTATACTTTTTTATATGCCAAAGAACATGACAAGGATGTCTCTTGTCTCTTATTTTTTTTTTAATTTTTTTAAAATTTAAGAAAAACTATTTAATTATTTATGAAAAATAAAAAAATATATACAATTAAAATTTTAAAAATAATTTTGTCAGAATCATTGAATCATATTTTTTAAAAATTACTTTAATTATTAGATAGAAAAGAAAAATATATAACCAATATAATAAATTTTATTTAATTATCTAAATTAATAATTAACTAATATAAGTTTAAAATATATTCAAGCAAGATCAAAATACATAGAATTCGTAATATGCAATTAGATTTAGATAAGCATGGCAAAAATTAAAAATATAATAATCTTTTCAAAACATCTTTTAAAAATTACTAACTAATCTTTAATAAGTCCTACAAATTTTGATATAAATTATTGTCTTTTTGAATATTATGTATGGCCTAGAATCAATAAAAATAATTATAAAAATCTTCTAAGTGTACATAAGTATGTCAAATTTAATACTAGGTCAAATTGAATTTACATGAAAAAATTCTATTCCAAAACATTAGTCTCATAAATTCTTTTAAAATTTCTAATTTTTTTCTAATTAGTGTTCTTATTTTTGCCAATAAGCTACTGCTAATATTTAAGAAATCTTTTATAATATAATGTCTAATTCAAAGACTTTATTTGTTGACTATTTGGATCCATAGAAAAACTTTCGCATTTTACAAAAAATAAGTTAACAGCTTACATACACAAAGATCGATTTGATATAATTTTATAGAATATGGTCAAACTTTGTAGAAGGTCACACATAACAAAATAGAAAAATAATGAAGAAATTGTAATACATTTCTTGGAATGCATTGTGGATATTTAAAAACACATCAAATATTAAAATAAGTATAAAAAATTTAATAAAACCTAAGAATTCTAAATTTTAAATTAATAATTCATGATAAATAATAATTGTAATGAATAAACGTATATTTGTTAATATTTTTTATGTAATAGATTTTAAACTTATAGATCTATCTTGCATTTATGGTATTAGGACCTTAAATATTATGCAATTCTTCATATTTAAATTAAACATTAAATGTATCTTATTTTGTCTAGATATATATATATATATATATATATATATATCTACACTAAAATAAAAAAACAACTACATGCTCAAAAACAAATGCTTGTTTTATGGCTAAAACAATTATTTTGCAATTTTCATCCTTATTTCTCACTTTGTGCAACTTCTCAAATGATGAACAGCACAACGGAAAGAAAACCAAAATACACAATAAGGGATGAATGAAAAAGTTTCAAAGCAAAGGATAGATTATCTGTGCAAACTATGCTTAAAAATAGCCATGAAAGACCATGTTTTGGCCAACTCAAAGCTTTCAAGTCAATGAGAAATTCTCACTGAGAGTTGAAACTTTACAGAATTTTTGTGTGTGCACTCAACAGATATTAGATAGCAAATTTTTGTGCAGAAGTACTCTCAATCGGCCAAAAAATACAAAGCTGAAATAAGATTCTTGTAGAGAAAGAGCGCAGTGATGATTGATCCCAAGTCCTCCAGTTCATGAAATGAAGCTAGATTTATTCTCGTTCAATTTTGCTTCCTCAAATGAATTGAAGCTTTGGTCAATCTCACAGGAATTTATGCATTTGCACCTCTTATCTCCGGAGTGACGACCACCTTGCTACTGTGGACTCCGTGTTTGAGGCATATTCATTGAGCTATCAATCTCATTTCATCTGCAGTTGACACAAGCATTTTCATTTCTAGTCAGATCACAGTGAAGAAGTGATCAACTCGTTGAGTATTCCGCACTTCTGGGTGGGAAGAGGACGCATAATTCGGCTCTGCACATGAGGATCACAGAAGAAAATTTCACTTCCCTCACAGTTTTGGATACTCTCTAAAGTCTAAGTTTGTCTCAAAAGTTGAACTTGTCCATTCATGTTCCTAAACGAGAGCTTTACAAAAATTATGAAGTCCATAACAGGGAAGAGAGGGAAATATTTGCTGAAGGGGAAGCACGAAACTCTTGCTTACAGAAGCGAAGAGGAGATGTGTAAAATATAAATAGAAGTCCTTATGTGGAAATAATATTCTTTTAGTTGCTCTGATGTGTACTCATACATTAACAAGGTGGCCTGACTGTGGTTTTCCTAACGAACAACTGAGATCAATAACTGCAAGGAAGGAGATGCAAAATGTAGCAAGCCTTATAACTTGAATAGATCGGATGAAATGGGCTTACATGGCAACGTAGATTGATACGATGCTACAGTCTGAGCAACATCAATTCTATCAGATCTGATAGTAGACGGTGACAGGAGCTAATTGCACATTTGCGTTACGGCATTTACATTTCTGGACTAATTGGTTATGTTACATGATGCTTACCCACTAGAAGGACCCGTTTGCAATTGGCAAATGTTTCGCTTTGGTATGCATGTCGAGTAAGTGGATTATGCGATAGAATTCTATTCAGGTACTGGCTCGAAGAGCACCTTCTTCACAAACCCTGTCATGGCTGTCAGTGACGAAAACCCATCAGTGTCCTTGTAGAAAGCGTGCATGATCTTCGCCATGTTTAAATGGATTCTCTTACAGGACTTCGGGACTGCAGTGAAGCGCAGCACTTCGTATGTCAGCTGTTGCATGGAGTTGTCGACCAATTCCTGCAGATGAGCGATGGCCATGGCCTCTGAAGGCACACTTGGATGCTCCTCCATGTAGATCTGCACGCTCGATATCTTCCCTTGGCTGGCTTCCCTCTGAAATACGATATGTGGCATTGATATTTCCTTGTCAGTTCATGATTGAAACTTAGCAATGCGACTCTTTTGAGGGTTTAACGTTTCGAAGATAGGATCTCAGGTTGTAGGGGTTGTGGAGCGAGTCGATTACCTTCATTCCTTGGATGTCGTTGAGGATGCGACCTACGCGGTTGACGAGATGCATGACGAGATGGTAGTCATAACTGTCAAGCACATCCTCATCGAGCCTATGGCCGGCGAAGAAGAGAGTGCTACATACAATGGGCTCTAGTGCGACGGAGATTTCAGCGACTTCCATATACTCGTCGAAGGTGGGGACGTAGCCGGACTCTGCCCATTCGGCTTCTTTCAAAGCTGAAGTGATCAATTTGTCCCACTGCAGCAAACAAGTCAAAGCACAGGAAAATCACGTTAGACGAGTCTATCCCAACCTTGTTCAATTGATTAAGGCACAGATCAAACACGTTTACACTGAAGAGAGGTGTAGGCACAAAGACTCACGTAATGCTTGAGATGATGATGTACGTCTCGTTTCTGTGCCATGAATGCCTCCTCGGCGATAGTGTTCACAGTCTTGTACAGTCCCATAAAGAGAATCTTGGCTTGCTCAGGTAGTCCGTTGATGAGCTCGGGATTCCAAGTCCTTACGGCCTGCACAAAAACCCGAAGCTCTTCCACAGGTGTACCGTGATCGAAGTAATCGTCTAGAACGGTGGTGAGCACGCAACAGCGTGCCCAAACGAGCCTCGCCTGCACCATTTCGGGCTCAAACATGGTTGCAGCGCCTGCGAAGTAGCACTCCACGGATTTCTGTCTAGCAAACTCGAGGTCTCTAAATTGGCAGCTGGCATTCCATTTGATGACCTGCTCGAGTTCCTTCTTGTGAAGAGCTTGGCACATGTTGAAGTCGGCTTTGGCCAATTTGAGAAACACTTCGTTGGTGACGGCCGGCATTTTGTAGAGCGACTTGCCAATCCAGATATCATCAATCCCATATTGGTCCAAGTAGGTGCGATGCTCAAGACGAGGAAGGCTAGCATACCAGGGGAATGTGAGATTGTATTCCACCTCGCCCGCTAGATCCTTCGTGATTATCCACTTGTCGAAGCATTCATTGTTTTCATGCTTGGTTCTCAAAAAGTTTCTGGAAAAGGTTCTGGCCTTTTTTAGGAGTGATTCCCCTGGGAAGAGCGTTTGCGATGCTCTGCTGAGGTTGAACATTCCCGTGACGGCTTGGCTGGACTGGCCGGCGAAGCAGAAGAACTCACCATCTTTGAAAAACTGTCTGAAGCAGTCCTCCTTGACGTCGAATCCGTGTGTGCGGAGAAGGCGGAAGGCCATGGCCGTGTCGTCCACGTCCTGCACGGACGAATTGCTTGCCCAGCCAATACCACAATCCTTCCAGTATCTGCAAGCAGAAAGATTCGTGACAAAGAATAAGTTCAAGGCAAATTTCCAATCGTGGAGTCCGAACATCACAAATTGAATACGTCTTGTGATATACTCCAAATCAAGTCTCTCATGGATAGAAGGCATACCGGTATACATATTGTAGACAGTCTCTGATTTCTCGCTCGAAGTAGCGGGATATTCCCAGCCTTTGTAGGCGGTCTACCATCCACAAACGCTCGAAGAGATCAACGGGGTACACGTTTGGACAAGCGTGGTCGAACTTGATGAGGAGCTGGTTCAAGTAGTCGAAGCACTTCACATCTTTTGTGTACATAAGTGCGCATGCAGTGGATGCGGGTGAATACAGAAAGGAGCCATTCTCGGACTGTAGCTGGAGGAGCTTGTTCCAGTCCACTTCCCGGTGCAGGCCTTCCAGAGAATGCAGCAAAGTAGTGGGGTACTTGTACACCATCGCCATAGGAATCCTGCTCTAATCAATCACAAAACAATTTACTGCTTCCAGTTCATTGAATGCAAATGAGAACACGTTTTCGCAGATTGGCCCATTCAGCAGTGCTTCTGTAGAGGCCTGGACATTAACGCTAATTCTGTGATGACATTTCAAGAGTGAGGAGTTGATGAGGCAAGATAGCTCACTTTTTCATTTTCTTCTCTCTTTCAGCCGAGATTTGTTGCAAGATAGTGGCATCGTATGGTAAATCCAGTCCCAGTGCCTTGGCATCTTCCATCATCGCTGGGAAGACAATCTCAAATCCAATCGGCATATGATTGGCGTCATCTTCCTCCATTTTGTAGATGTTAGATTGCAGAAACTGGATTCCTGGACAGATTCCAAGCCCAAGATAGTTCAGAGCTGTGGAAACAGTGTCTTAATGTGTGAACGGAAGAGCAAGTATGTTGGAGGATTGTGGGAGAGACAGAGAGCTCGAGTTTGTATTCTTACCACGCTCTACGTTCTGAGCCCCAACACCCCAAGTTTTCAGGGCAATTACACAGGCGAGAGTGTTGCAAACGCGATCGTATCCAAGGAAAAGAGACGGTTCACCCCAATCGCCATCCGGGAGCTGATTATCAATAATCCACTGCAAAGACCGATGGAACTGAGGGCCATGTGAGCCATCCAGCGCTGGCACTCGCGCTACCCAAGCTGTGTCGTATGGAGACATGGATATTTCCCCCAGTGTCATATTTCGGAAGTACATTCTGATTTCCTCAATCCACTCGTTCATCTGTACATTCTCAGTCACCTTTTGTGGCGCAGAGCACACGCCATGCTCAAAACGTCAATTTCAAAATCCTTAGGATGATGAACGCGAGCAAAAAAAGGTCATGATTATTATCATCTTGGTTATCAAAATCTGCCATGAGTCAACAAACTTTTGGGATCACGTCTCTACATGCAATATTATTTTATGAGGTGACATGGTTTTTGAAAACATTGCACACCCTTGGTGAAAGAAACAAAGTCTAGTAAGAGACTTCCAAATAATCGAGTCAGGTACCTGCAACAAACATTCCGTTCTTTGCAAGGTTTCTGACCATATGTCTGATACGTACAAAGTAGACTGGAAGTTATCAATGGATTTTTCCATGGGTACTGCAACAATAGCCAACGAATATGATTAGAAGCACTGCTGAAGTGCAAAATGTGTTTCTCCTCAAGACTGCTAACTTTAACACTCATGTAATCACATGTCAAATTCTACACTACTTACCCCTGTTTTTTTCTTTTTATTTTTTATTTTTTCCCTAGCCTGTAGGAAGAAATACCGACAGCCAATATGGAAACACACATCTTAATTTTCACATGTTTGTTCAGACATCTACGACGCATTAAAGTGAATTGGATTTTTGTGCCTGAATCAATGACACACTGCTGTAAGACTGCTTCTTACTCGGAAGTCTGTGAGTAAGGGACCCCTCTTGCAAGTGGCCGTTTGAAGAAGGATTGATGCCGGAGGGTCCAGTTACAATCCTGTAAGATCCGCTACCTGGTGAAGAAATTCAGATTGTTTAGTCCATGAGAGTTAGATAAACGACCGCAAAAGAAGAACCCAAAAGAAGGAATTATAAGACTTAAAGATGCAATGCATGTAGTTTAGATTCATTTATTTCGTTTTCTCACCTGTGTTGTGCTCGAATCAAAAGGGTATGAAATGTGAGAAAATGCTGTGAAACAATTAAACGTGATTGAAGACGTAATTAAACGCGTTTCATTGTGTCTAACGAGTGTGAAAATTACAATTTTTAAGCAATCCTAGCAAACTATTTTACTCCGATTTTAGGTGAATTACACAGTAACAATGATTCAATTGTGTCTAAGTTCAGGATATTCTTATGGTTTTAAAGATTACCAGGAGAGCTCTCGAGGACTGATTCAGTAGGTCGCAAACATCGACGCTTCTTTAGGCATTGAACTGCAGCAGGAGTTCTAGTGCCTGGAAAACGTAGAGGTTGCCCTCGAAAAATCTGAAAGGAAGACATGCTTGACGTAACGCCACAAGAGCGATTCTGTATCAAGGTGCTGGAAGCCATCTCTATCAGTCTTAAAAATCCCTATATCGACGTTGAGACTTCGGGTACTGTCTCCGCTGGATATATGAGTCTGATGATTCGATTTTACTCCCTTCCCCAACTTGTGTTACTCGATGTGTAGGAAAAGCCACCCCCGTACCTGAACGGCCCCCCACACAATGAAATCACTTTAAAAAACACATGAAACGCCTAGTTCGTTAGGAATCTTCAGCAAACCAATCGCAAGAATTGCGCGAACATCACCACCTGCAATGACTAGAAATGTAACCCCAAAAGGTGGGACTCGAAGAGTGCATGTAACATCCTGCGCAGAAGTTTCTGTAAACTTGTTGAACCTAGCATGACGTAAACCGCACATGTATACATTACTTTGGCGGTTCCTCAGCAGATCTGACATGCATTCGGTATCATGCTCACACTACTCGTCGTCCTAGAGTCTGCTTGAACTCTACCAGTGCATACTCAAGACAACGCAGACTGGGAAACCTAGAGATGAACACCACCTTGAGAACCCACCAGTTCGCAGAACACAACTGAGCTTGATCACCAAGCATGCATTACCAGCTTCAAGTCTCGGAAGGATTCAAACAAGCATCCAGTCATCTGTAAAGACGAAGTGCCGAAAGACCATCGCTTTCGTGACACAAGGCTTGAAGCTGGTCACAGGAGCATGACGAGCATTGCAGTCTTCAGCACTGATTGAGGCTGCGGAAACAATCTTCTAATGATTGGTTGCAATCCTGAGCTGCCTGTGAGTCAGCTTGTGATTGAAGTCACTGGTTCGATATCATGTGACGGGACAATGTATATGTGTGTTCCTCTGTAAAGGATCGAGCCAGGTTGATTCTCTAAGGTATCCCGTGGATCCGCCCGGTCTCCAGCAAGTTGAGCGTTGAAATGGCCAGATGCATTCACTCGGTTAATCTAAGATGTTGGTCTGTAGCAAAAGTTGTCCGAACCACAGCTTTACTCCTTTAGAATGTCTGCATGTGGTTGCGCATTAATGCTTCTCGTTGGTTTAACTCCAACCACTATTTCAGGAGGCACATAAGTTGTGATTGTCTAATCAGTGGCCTATGCTTGCCAGCAATGAGTACGTACAGGGATCCCAATGCCAGTGAGATCAGTATAAACTCCTAATCGTTCCACAAATGGACCTACACAGTGGGTACTTTCTAGCCACGTTACCATCTTGCAGCTTTACATCTTTTCCAGTGCTATCTTATGCAATCCACCAATTAATGGACATTCAAAATGTAATGGACAATATTTTCTTACTTTTTGTAGAATATCTTATTTCGGAAACTCTGCGATAAATTATTGCGAAGATAATAAGTTCTTGAAGTGTTTTATTCAGAAATGTATCGAAGAGATGCCCCAGTCTTGTTTCAATGTCTGGGTAAAAATTGTTCATGCTAAAATAAGAACATTCCAAGGTTTCGAAGTTCAACAAATCACCGCCTTGAAACACATAGTCATGTTTTCAGTTTGATTATTCCAAGTGAATTTATCTGTGTCAGTTTCTCAATCACTTTTTCTTTTCTTTTCTTTTCATTCTTCTGAAATTGAGCATTTTTTGTTTTAGTGCAAATAAAATTTACTAACCATTATGAGCAGCATTAATCTGTAAATTACCCTGGTAATAGAGTAATAGAGAAGGAGGTGCATTCAAAACGTCGATGTTTCCTGTCCTCAAGAAAATTATATTTTGCAAAAAATAGTATGTTTTGCAACTGCTCATAATTCGACCATAATTCTTTATTACTTTTGTAACTTCTGTAACTTACACACGAATAGCTTCCTCTGTATCAAAGGAGACTTGCCGCTAACAAAAAAATATTAATCAAAGTTCATGCTCCGTGGGCTTTACACCCTGTTTTATGATTGAATATATTCTTTTGGTTACATAGATCGTGATATTCCATTGCACATTTCTACACAAAAAGAAATTTCTCCTGAAGTTTCTTCAAAGAAACCCTTCGTTTATTCCTGATATATGACTTCGGTGGTCTTTAGAGAGACACTCGCTGTAGCCTCTGAAGCGGAAAGAGCATCATGTACGTGATCTCGGACAATTTGTAGACACGTGAATTGGCAGGGTTTCAGGAGGCTCCTTTCACGCAAACATTCTCGTATCCACAATTGCGATTTTGTAGCATGCAAGCGTTCCAAACTGTGACCTCATGATTTCTTCACTGCAAAGTGAGAAACCCTTCTGTGACAAACAAACAAAGAAGAAGAAGAAGTATGCTATCATTGCGTTAGGTTCATGAACAGAAAGTCGAGATTGTTGCAGAAGCTTCGTAAAGTTCTACGACTGGCGTCAATGGACTCCGGAGTGGGATTCGGTTTTTCCGATCCAGAACAATAGACAGAACATGGCTAAAAGAATTGGTGAGGCAATTCTCGGAATATGTTCCCATGCACATCTAAATCTCCTAGGTGGTTGTTCTCAAATTAATATTAGAATACAGGATCCAGGCCTGTATTCTAACTATTGGTTTACCTTGAGTATTTTATTTCTCTCCATCGGTTTGGTTGCTGTATCCACGCTATTATTGGGAAGACTCTCAGTACATCTGATTTACCAGCGGTGCAACAGATATTGGCGATGTCCACGGTATGTGGGTCAAAGATTCCGGCGCGGTTGGTATTGTCGCCATCTTGTGCAGAAAATTGAAATGTGCTCGGCGTTGGGGTTCCTCAAGTTGGCATGTATGTGTTACAAGAGCTGAAATGAATTGTGATGAATGTCATGTGGGTCACGTCCAGCAACTGGCTCGAGAGGACAACCGAAACATTGTACAAACAGTGAACTGCAACCAAAACAATCGTGGGTCTGTCGATCCAAGAGGGTTATTCTGATTATTGCCCTGCCAGACAGCTAACAAGCTTCTGGATCTAAAGCTACTTGGTCGGAAAGGCATGGAAAATTAGCCTCGGCCAGTGGAAACGATTCTGAGAATAAAAACCATGTGGCAATTTTCTGTCACCAGAGTTAATGCCTATTTTTTCGTATAGGAATACGGATTCCTCGTGAACTTGCAAATTAGAATCGCCTAAATGTGCATTCACTCGGTTAATCTAAGACTGAATGTCGCTGTTTCTGAACAATGAATCCATATATTCTTGATACTTGGACAATCAATTAGCATCATGGAATTGCAAGCTTGACCAGGTTACAACAAACGACAATCTCTTGCTGATGCCTCATTTCTACCATGAAACCCGGTCAATAACTTGCATTCACTAAGAACCCGCATGCTGCGAAAACCTTGTCCACAGTATGTTGATGGGCTTTAACTTTTGCGCACGATGGATCGAAAGTTGAAAAGAAAAAGTGAAGGCTCTGTGGTAGCTGACATGTCTAGGCAACATTTAAAAGTAAATCACAGGATTGATCCAACAAGATGAGACTGTTACACAAGGAACGATTAAAACGAAACAGCGAGGATCCCGAGATGGCTGCGGTGTCGATTTAAAGTGTGAGAGGAATACATCAGCGGTCTAATGAGCTGAAACAAATACTGTAACATACAGGTATCATACAGCCTATGGATTTTACTTGAGTATCGACCTCCAAGCACAGGATAGTGGGACGACGGAGTCTTTGAGTCTCGGATTCCTTAATCCTCGCATGCGCTAATTGAGCGAGCTCATGCTTCCATACTCCCCTTTTCGGCTCATCATCTGCCAAAGCATTTGGCTCTATGTCTCATTCATGTCCACATCACCAACTGCACCAGTGCGCTCCACTTCGACGATGCATTCTATACTCATGGAGGTTGACAACAACATGAGGCATTGTAAAGTATAACAGACAGATACTTCAAAAATGATTTTAGTGCTGATTTCCTTGAGAAACTCTTTCCTTGAGAAACTATGACTGAAACTTCGATTTTCGATGTGTCCATGTGCCTTTATATTGGATCCCCCAGAACTAATGTTGTCAATCAGGCGCAATCGTACGAATATTTCATTGTACGTTGACTTGAAAGGAGGTTGGTTCAGACCGCAATTGCCCTTCAGGGCGATTGGAGGGGAAGTAGATCCATGTTCTTCTCCTGAGTAGGTGCACATGAACTCAAATCCTTGAGAGACATGCGGGCGTTAGTTCAAGACAACAAACTAATGTCGTGTACTTATTAAATACACAAATAACAGATTTGTCGACGCGGGCCCGCGTCGATCTACAGTGCGGCAACTCAATCTGCCCCTCTCGGTGCTCAGAGACCAAATGAACAGAAATTGTTTGAAAATCCTGTCATCATGTGGGTCAGGATGTATCTTGCACATATGAATATATATATATATATATATATATAATTGACTGCAGCCAACTTGCATGTTGTCGCCAATGAAGTCGTTGGCATTGGCGAGATTCAGCCCACCAAGTCTACCCGAACCAAATGCTCTTCTTCGGAGCACGGTCACCGCAGCATATTTCTGCATCGTATGTAGGACAAGAAGGGTATCCTTTGTAACTCTCCCTCCCATTGTCTGGGATTTCACTAGTTGAGGAATTCTGCTTAAATTCCTATAGGAACATTGTCAGCGACTTTGAGCCCTCGATTTTCCTGGCCGCCCTCTAGATATGTAGCCCAACTGATTGCAATCCCAGGTGTGTCGCCCATCCTGATTCTCCCTCCTTGAAAACTGGCCAAGCCCTGTCATGAAGCCCGTAGGATTCCATCGCGATCGATGCTCCCTGGCTAATCTGGGTTTGAAGCTGCTCCACCCTCCTGGATGTTTCCCAGCTCGAATCTGGTCACACATGATTACCCTACAAAACAGTTGCTGCACGAATGAAAAAATCATACTATCTTCGAATTCACAGCTGGAATGTTTTAACTCTTGTGCATCTCACATTGTGCGAAACTTGGAACAGGTGGGGCACCGGTATCCATCACGAACACGTGTAATAACTCCGTCGCCAGGACCTAGACGACAACAACAACACCATCACCCCCATGATGGAACCGCGCAAATCCATGGACCCCTTTCTGAACCGTGCTACCACACCTGAGACCAGCGACCAAGAGCGCATTTTATATGCCGAAGCGCCAGCATTAGTCGACGACGCAATAGTTGCTCCCAACACCGAAAGATTACCCTCCCTCCCTGGTCCTCCTGTCGATCGAAACAGCCCCTGCCTCCATGCCATTCCTGCCTCTTGCGTTGCTGCCCCCTCTCTCTCACAATCCTATGAAAGCCCAGTTGTGAAAGATGCACACACTTACAAATAAATAAATAATACATGTATATAAACAACCCAATTCCAAAGACACGCTTAATTCATTGAAACCTCTACTTCAAAGTCAAACTTTACTGAATTTTTTGGCCAGATAACAGCGTTAAACTACAAAAGAATGACAGCTAGTTGCACCAAATAAGTGGTCTATTCAAAGTCTAACTACAACAATCAGAGATATTTATGTATTTTAATTGTGTATAGATATATATATATATATATATATATTTATGCACACAACTGCCATTTATTTCCTTTGTTATTCTGAAAATGCAAGTCTTCAGTGTCACATAGTACATTTTTACTTAGTGTTTATGTAAGCCTAAACTGTTCTCTTCTACCAACTTTTCTAGTAATATAAAGTATAGTTGAGTGTCGCTCATATAAAATATATATTGCATGACATTAAGTAATTCAAAGAGCTATAGCCAGACAGAATTTTCAAATAAAATGTTATGGTAAACATGTTTTCTGTAGTACTTTTATTCTCTGTATATTTTCATTTTTTATTCTTTATTCTTTTTGAAAAAATATATTCTTTTATTTGAATGTACTTTACAATAGCTATGAATCATATGGCACATGATCAATTTATTAATCCATTC